GAAGAGGGATTAAAGGGGAAATACTTGGAGGTAATATTTATGGATTTAATACTCGATTCTAATGTGGATTCTACCTAATTAATCATGGAATTTAAGCTTAATATTGAAGAACTAGGGCTTGTCATTGGAGACCTAGAATTTGGGAATATTGGGGTCGTTTGTGGTTGGATTTTGATGCTTTTGGTATAAATGAACTCGGGGAGTGACAAGGAGTCTATTGATGTAAATTTTATCGGAATCCGAGACATGGGCCCGGGGGTCGGGTTTGGCCAATTTCGGGTTTTGTATTGTAATTTGATTTCTTTCGAGTGGGCTTTGTTCCCTTAGCATATTTTGATGGTTTTGCACTGATTTTGCCTAGATTTGGAGCATACGGAGGCCGATTCGAGGGGCAAAGGCATCGCGAGCTATAGTTGGGACCAGATTGAGGTGAGTAATGATTTTAAATGTTGTCATGAGGGTATGAAACCCCGGATTGTACATCGTTGTGCTATGTTGAGGTGACGCACAAGATGACGAGCATGGGGTCGTGCACCGTTGGGGATTGTGACTTAGTCCATCCCGAATGACTGTTTTATCGCGTATTTGATTGTAAACTATTTGCTATCATCTTGTTTGGGGCTAAATGTCATATTTGGGCTTCGTGCCAACTGTTTGGACCCTTAGGGAATTTTCGTTGCCATTTCCTCACTGTTTTGACTTTATACTTGTACTCAGTCATGCTATATTCTACTGTTTTCATAACTCAGCCATGTTTACTGTGTTTTAACACCGTAAATGATATTATAAAAGATATTTTGAGCTGAGCATCATGTTTTACTGTTGCCCGAGTGGCTTATGAGATTCTGACTGAGTAAGGCCGAAGGCCTGTGTTGTGAGGATACTTTGGGTCGGGCTGCACGCCGCAGCAATGATACACTGATTATGATTATGAGGCCAAGGGCCTGAGATTTGTACGCCACGAGGTGGCTTGTTGATATGAGACCGAGAGCCTAGTTATTATGCCACGAGATGGCTTGATATTGCGCTTGGGCCGTAAGGGGCCCCTCCCGGAGTCTGTACACCCCCAGTGAGCGCGGGTACCCATTGTGATATGAGATATAGCTCGAGGGGCTGGTATTGTTCTATGTTATTGCCCGAGGGGCTGATTCTGTTGTTATTGTGCCCGAGGGGCGGATCTTATGTGTTTATCTTTTCTAGCTTCCTTTCATTTACTTGTTGAACTGCTTAAAAAGGTGCTTTATGAGATTACACTGTTTAATTGTATTTTACTGATTTTACTCTGCCTCTTTATAGCATATTGTTGTGTTTAACGTGATTTCTTATCGCTCAGTCTTCATTTATTGTTATTACTCACTGAGTTGGAGTACTCACTTTACTCCCTGCACCCTGTGTGCAGATTCGGGCGCTACAGGTCCTGCTAGCAAGGGTTGATAGCTTCCAGCAGATTTCCGGAGTCCACTAGGTAGCTGCTTGGCGTTCGCAGCCCAGTGTTTCTCCCTCTTATCGTTATTTATGTTCCTAGTTCTGGATTTTGCAATAGACTGTGTAGTCCCTTTTCTACATTTCAAGACTTATGTTAGATGCTCATGACTGGTGACACCCCGATGTCGGGCCGTGTTTGGTTGTTTTCCGCATATTATATTGTTTCACTTACGTTTTGGGATTATTAGTATGTTAATGACTTATTTTGTGTTAATATAATTGTTTAAATGAATTGGGAGTTGTGTCGGCTGGCCTTGTCTTCACGAGAGGCGCCATCACGACCGGGCCTAGGTTTAGGGTCGTGACATGAATAGGACGTCTCATGTTCATTCCGGCACAACCATCTGAAATTTCTGTAGCATTTTAAATTTTTTGTTAACTTTTAAATGATAAAATCAACTCATCGTTTGGACAAGAAACAAGATAAAAATAAAAGGACTTCATTTTATTCCTTCTATCTTCAAAAGTACATAAGCATTCGCTCGCTAAAAAAAGAAATTGTCAATACATGTGGCTAACTTGTACAACTTGTTTCTACGGGGTTGGTCATGCATTCCTCGGTCCCGATGAGATATTATTGTTCTCGGTTCTTGCATTCTCGATTTTACTGGCATCCTTGCTGTCGTATCAAATACTATTCCCCCAGTGTTCGAATGTGAAGTATGCGAATTGGAACACTGGAGGTCCTGCTTCGTTGGTTGAAACACTTGTGAACGATTGAATGTCTTTGGTTCGATGGCAAGCTTTGCTTCCCGTTAGGAACTTGCCATCAAGCCAAAGTTTATCTAACCATCCCATAGTGGTTTATCATTTCAATTCCTTGTTAGTTAAAGGTCTTAACTTTGCCTACGACGCTCCTCTCATAGTATGTTTTCCACTGCTGCCTTGTTAAAAATCTTGCCAGAAAAACCCTATTGCAGCAAAAATTGGTTGAAGGGATTAAGATAGCAGCAAATACTGTCAGTGTTCACGGGATCTATCAGCAGTAATACCTTTTCAGGTAAGTCACATTCCAATTGCTAGGCAGTTTGACTCCATCTTGATTTTCTAGCTTGTAAGATCCTTTACAGATGACAATCGAAACCCGGTAGGAACCTTCCCTTGTCGGACCCAGCTTCCCAGCGTTTGATTTCCCGAGTTTTCTGAGTCACCTTCCTAAAAACCAAGTCTCCTACTTTGAAGTAAAGAAGATTGGCTCTCCGATTATAGTACCTTTCCATCCTGTGCTTCTGAGCCACCATCTTCACGTGTGCCAAGTTGCTGGATTCATCAAGCACCTCCAGCTTCACCAGCAATGACTCATTTTTGTTTCTTCGCTTGCTTGGGAAAAACGTAAGGTTGGTTCCCCTACTGCCACCGGGATTAGAGCTTCCGAGCCATATACGAGAGAAAAAAGGTTGTATCTCCCGTGCTTGATTTTGTCGTCGTCCGGTATGCCCATAACACGCCCGATAACTCTTTGCGCCACTTGCCTTTAGCAGCTTCTAACCTCTTTTTTGAGGTTTTGGATAATGACCTTATTGGTTGACTCCGCTTGTCCATTAGTGCTCGGATGGTACGGTGAGGAGGTAATTCTTTTGATTTTCACATCTCCGAGAAATTTTGTGACTTTGGAGCCTATGAACTGTGGTCTGTTGTCGCAGGCAATCTCCTTCAGTATCCCAAACCGGCAACTTATATGTTCCCATAGGAAGTCGATCACTTCGCGCCCACCGATCTTATGGTAAGGACCTACTTCAACCCATTTTATGAAGTAATCGATTAAAATTAAAAGAACTTCACCTTTCCGAGACACAGTGGCAGTGGACCAACTATATCTATTCCCCATTTCATGAATGGCCACGGAGATAGTACCGAATGCAAGAGTTCTGCCGGCTGATGTACCAACTATAAATAGCGTTGGCATTTGTCATATTTTTGCACGAACGTCTTTGCGTCTTATTCCATCTGAGGCCAGTAGTACCCTACTCTAACTAGCTTTAGTACCAACGAAAATGCACCTGAATGGTTTTCGCAAATTCCTTCATGGACTTCTCTCATCACGTATTCCGCTTTCGAGGTTCCTAGACATCGGGCCAATGGGACTTGGTATGATCTCCTATACAGTTTCCCTCCTATGAGGCAGTAACGAGCCACTTTGGCGCGTAGTGCCCGGGACGCCTTCAGGTCTTCGGGCAACGTGCCATGCTGAAGATACTCGATGAACTCATTCTTCTTATCCTAGACCAGGTTGGTTGTATTTACTACACAATAGTCGTCCACATCTAGCACCAAATGCATAAGTTGAATGATAGTACTGGAGTCAGATCCTTTTATTTCCATGGATGACCCCAAATTGGCCAACGCATCTACTTCTACGTTCTCTTCTCTCAGGATGTGTGAGATTTACCACTCCCTGAATCATCCAAGCAAAGTTTAAACTTTTATCACATATTATTGCATGTGTTCCTCTTTTGCATCGAAATTCCGTACACTTGATTTACTACCATCTAGGAATCACATTTGATCTCTATAACCTCGGAGCCAAAACTTGTGATTTGATCGCAGTCCTAGGCTTGTATTCAATATCGAACTCATTAATTTCAGCTACCAATTTGGCAAATCGGCCCGACAACTCCGGCTTGAGAAAAACATTTCGCAAGGGAAAGGCTGTCACAACGACTATCGGGTGACACTGAAAATAAGGCCTAACCTTTCGAGAGGCGACTACGAGAGCTAAGGCCAACTTTTTGAGATGTAGATAATAAGTCTCCACTCCTGACAAAATTTTACTAACATAATAGACAGGAAATTGTGTACCTTCATCCTCCCGAACTAGAACGGCACTTACTGCTACTTCTGAGACCACTAGGTATATTAGCAATTGTTCTCCTTCCCCCGATTCTGATAGTAGCAGGGGTTTTGATAGATAATGCTTCAGGTCTTTTAAGGCCTGCTGACATTCCGGAGTCCATTCAAAATTATTTTCCTTCTTCTCCAGAAGTGATGACATTTTTTTGAGGATCGAGAGATGAACCTGCTTAAAGCGGCCAATCTTCCGGTCAATCTCTGTACTTCTTTGACACTCGTAATCTGGTCAAGGATGTCTTCTATGGCTTTGGTTTTATCGGGATTAACCTTGATCCCGCTTCGTGAGACCAAAACAACCAATAACTTACCGAAGCCAACCCCGAACGCGCATTTTTCTGGGTTAAGCTTCATTTTATGCTTCCTTAAGATATCGAAGGTCTCTTGGAGGTGTTTTGAATGATCACCTGCATTCAAATACTTGACCAACATGTCATCTATGTACACTTCCATTTTTTTACCTATTTGCTTTTCGAACATCTTGTTCATGAACCTCTGATAAGTGGCTCCGACGTTTTTAAGCCCGTAGGGCATCACATTATAACAATATGTGCCAAAGTTCGTTATGAACGAATTTTTTTCTTGATCCTCCGGGTTCATCTGGATTTGGTTGTACCCAGAATAGGTATTGAGAAAACTCATTAACTCGTGTTCGGCTGTCGCATAAATCATTTGACAATATTTGACAATGGGAACGAGTTTTTAGGGCACGCCTTATTCAAGTCTTTATAATCTACACACATTCGAAACTTGTTATTCTTATTCGGAACCACAACTACATTAGATAACCACTCGGGATACTTTACCTTCCGGATTGAACCAATGTCAAGTAGTCGAGTTACCTCTTCCATAACAAACTTGTTTCTGACCTCAGCTATTGGGCGTTTTTTTTTTGCCTTATCGGAGGGAAGCTCAGTTCCAGGATTAACTTGTGTACGACCACTTGTACTAGGATACCTATCATATCCGAGTGTGACCATGTAAAACAATCAATGCTAGCTTTAAGAAAATTAATAAATCCCGACCTGAGTTCGGGATTGAGTCTTGTTCCCAAGTGAAACTTCCTCTCCAAGACCTCTTTGAACAAAGCCACTTTCTCGAGTTCTTCCGCCGTGGATTTGGTCGCGTCTCTCTCTTCGGTAACTGAAAGTATCTCGGTACCTGGTGGGATTCCGATGACTCCTCGCCATTATCATCTTCACTTGGCACGTGAGAAGGCGTCGGTTCCTCTAATTGCTATTTGCTGGGATCCTTCCCTTTACTACTGGAAGTTGATACTGCATTCATTTCTCTTGCTGCAAGTTGATCTCCTCTTATCTGCTTGATTCCCTCCGGGGCTGGGAATTTCAGCAATTGGTGATATTTTGATGGTACAGCCCTCATCATGCAACCATGGTCTTTTGAGAATTATGTTGTAGCCTACGTCGCCGTCCACCACTTCAAATAAGGTGGTCTTTGTTACCAATTCGGTATTCGTAGGCAGCAGGATCTCTCCTTGGGTGGTCACACCCGCTAAGTTGAACACAGCGGGGAGCTTTATTGCTGGAATGATGCTTTCGGTTAGCTTTGCTTGCTCCTGTACTCTTCATTTAATGATGTTGGTTGAGCTTCTTGGGTCTACCAAAACACGTTTAATCTTAAAACCTAAGACATTGAGAGAGATTTCCAGAGCGTCGTTATGTGGCAGAAGAAGTCAGTTGGCGTCTTCCTCTGTGAAGTTGATGTCATCTTCGGCGACTTCCCGGAGTCTCTTATAGTGGGTTATCGACACCTTTGTCTTCTTGGCCACCGAGAAGGTTATACAATTAATTTCATTCCCTCCGAAAATCATGTAAATAGTCAACCGAGGAGGGTCTTCCCCTATCTTCAGTTCTGCTTTTTCCCGGCTGCAGCCGTAATTATTCTTGGCTCGCTCGCTCAAGAACTCCCTGAGATGGTCATTTTTCAATAATGCTGCCACCTCCTCGCACAGATGTCGACATTCCCCAGTTCTGTGGCCGTGAGTACCATGATATTCGCACCATAAGTTAGGATCCCTCTGGCTGGGATTGAATCTGATCTGCTTCGGGAATCGTGCTTCTTTGATATTTCTCATCGTCGATACCAACTCCATTACACTGATGTTGAAACTGTAATATGACAATCTGGGATATGTAGAATCCTGGGTCCTCGGTACCTCTTTTTCTTGTAACGATCTGTTGTTCCCGCTACGGTCAATTCTTCTATTGGGAGCGAACCTATTTGAGGATCGGAACCCATTGCTACTGCGTCGCTCGACTCTGTCGTAAGTAAGGAAACGGCCTTTAGAAGATCGCCGGTCCGCATCAAAATCACCTTTGAATTTATCTTGGTTCTTGTCTCGGTCCCGCCCCTTGGTTGATGTCGGAAACCCGAGCTGATTATCTTCTATCCTTATTTTCGACTCATAGATGTTATGAACATCCGCCCATGTGGCCGCCTAGAACTCGAGCAAGCTTTCTTTCAGCTTTTGGGAGGCGTCAGAGCTCCTCGGGCTCAAACCCTTGATGCATGCCTTCGCTGCCCACTCACATAGTACGGCCTGTAGCAACATCCTCTCTTTCTGTAATCTGATCACGATTTTCCGCAACAGCTCGGACTCACCTTGTGCGATCCTGAATATGTCTGTCTTCCTGGCTTGGACCTTTTTGGCCCCAGCATGGGCCTCAATGAACGAATCTGCGATCATTTCAAAAGAATCTGTCGAATGCTCGGGTAAGAGTGAGTACCATGTCAAGGCCCCCTTCGTGAGGGTTTCTCAGAACTTTTTCAAAAGAACCGACTCGATCTCATGTTGAGCCAAATCGTTCCTTTGCTGTTGTATAGGTTGTGATGTGCTCCTTTGGATCCGAAGTCCCTTCGTACTTTGGTATGTCCGGCATCTTGAACCTCTTCAAAATTAGCTCTGGTGTTGCACTCGGTTTAAACGGTAGCTGAGTATAGTTTTTCGAATCCGGACCCTTCAAAACTGGCGGTGCGCCAGAATCTGATCCATTCGGGCGTGAAACTCTTTCGCGTTCTGATCCATCCGCTAATTCATTTCCCTCATAAATCTCATGAGCTCGATTTTGAATGAATCATCATTGTTATCGTTAACAGATCCACTACCGATCCCCCCTCTCCCCGGCATCGTCGAAACCGACCTCACCCCTCAGGGTGTTATTATCAACTCTTTGAGCCGTTTGATTTGCGAGGTAATTCGAAGGAACCTGGCCTCTTCCATTTGTGTTGTTAGATGCGTCGGACAATGCTTGTTTCTATTCTGCCATGACTTGATCATGCCTTGAGAGGTGGCCCATGATGGCTTTCTGTTGCTCTCTTAGGATCCTTACAGTTTCCGCAAAGTGTTCATCTTCCGCATTATCCGGAGTTGGCTCTCGAACATGTCAAGGGTATTTTCCTCCATGGATCGGAGTCGCCTCATCCCCCTCGTTGCGGGTGTCACTGATTGAATCATCGTGTTGAGGCAGATTTTCATGTGCCACAACGTTGTGTGTGATGTTGACATTGTTAGCTGCCATTTTCAATTTCTTGCTAAGTAACAAAAAATCAAATGAGTTAGTAATAAACGCAAGGATCAACTCAATTACGCAACTGTCTAAGCCCCACAATGGGCATCAAACTCTTTACCCGTAAAACGGTGTAGTTAAATTTGTATGTAGTGTATAGACAAGACTGACTTGATCCAAAATGATAAATAAACTGAATTAAAAAAAAAATATGACTTAGCGAATAAAATCAAAGGAAATTACAAGCCTGGCTTCGAGAGCAATGTCTCCAAGGACAAGAATGAGAACAATGTAAAACAACAAGTAAAATTATTTTATTTAGCTTGAGGATGGAATGTAGCATAAGTTTTGTCAAGACTTTCTGTCTTACAATGGCTGTTGAGTCTACTATTTATAGCTACATCTAGGAAAACAAGATCCTATGATCAAGCCCCTCTTAAATGACAATAAAGGGGCCATTGATGAATATGTAACGACAGGCTATGAATGAAAATATTCTCTGCAACGGCTGCCCATTTAATACCAGGAAATATTTTCATTAAATACTATCCGATGGCAAACATTCACGTTGATTGTGCTCCCTTCGGGGTCCATCTGATAGCAATGGCAGTTGTTGTTCCCGGTACTGGTTGTTACTCGATTTATCTTCTGCCTATCTTCGATTCCACGTGTCGCGCTACCATTCGATCATTTAATATAAACCAATTTTACCCTATACAATCACCTAACACATATACATATATAAAAAGAAGAGGAGGGAGGTCACGTACTAGAAATTATAGCAAAACAGAACCACGGTCGACTGACATTTACGTGGTCGAAACCGACCAACGTAGTCGGTTTCTACGTTTTNTAACTCTTCTGACGCGACTGAGCTGTGCAAAGTCTCTGCTTGATCACTTTCACCTTCTCTAAGGCATCCTGGACCAACTCTGTCCACAATAGTCTAGCCTCGCCGGGCTCAAACCAACCGACCGGAGATCTACACCGTCTCCCATATAAGGCCTCATACGGCGCCATCTGGATACTGGATTGATAGCTGTTGTTGTAAGCAAACTCTGCAAGTGGCAAGAACTCATCCCAAGAACCTCCAAAATCAATAACACAGGCACGCAACATGTCCTCCAATATCTGAATGGTACGCTCGGACTGCCCGTCCGTTTGAGGATGAAATGTTGTGCTCAGCTCCACCTGTGTACCCAACTCCCGCTGAAAGGTCCTCCAAAACTGGGAAGTAAACTGAGTACCTCTATCTGAGATAATGGAAACTGGGACCCCATGCAACCGAACTATCTCCTGGATAAAAATCACTGCCAGGCGCTCCAAAGAATAGGTAGTACACACCGGAATGAAGTGCGCGGACTTGGTCAACCGACCCACAATCACCCAAATCGAATCAAACTTCCTCGAGGTACGAGGGAGACCACTCACAAAATCCATAGTAATCCTCTCCCATTTCCACTCCGGAATATCCATCCGCTGAAGTACACCACCGGGCCTCTGATGCTCATATTTGACCTGCTGACAGTTGAGACACCGAGCTACATAACTCACAATATCTTTCTTTATTCTCCTCCACCAGTAGTGTTGCCTCAAATCCTGATACATCTTCGCGGCACCCGGATAAATGGAATACCGCGAGCTATGGGCCTCTTCTAATATCAACTCCCGAAGCCCATCCACATTGGGCACGCAAATCCGGCCCTGCATCCTCAACATGCCATCATCATCAATAGTCACATCTCTGGCATCATCATGCTGGACCCTGTCCTTAAGGACAAGCAAATGTGGATCATCATACTGACGCTCTCTAATGCGGTCATACAAGGAAGACCGAGAAACCACACAAGCCAACACCCGACTAGGCTCCGAAATGTCTAATCTCACCATCCGATTGGCCAAAGCCTGGACATCAACTGCAAGGTGCCTCTCCCCAACTGGAATGTACGCCAAACTACCCATACTAACTGCCTTCCGGCTCAAGGCATCGGCCACTACATTGGCCTTCCCTGGATGATACAGAATGGTAATATCATAGTCCTTGAGTAACTCAAGCCACCTCCGCTGCCTCAAATTAAGATCCTTCTGCTTGAACAAATGCTGGAGACTGCGTGATCCGTGAATACCTCACAAGATACTCCGTATAAGTAGTGCCTCCAAATCTTCAAAGCATGAACTATAGCAGCCAACTCTAAGTCATATACAGGGTAATTCTTCTCATGGGGCTTCAACTGGCGAGAAGCATATGCAATAACTCTACCCCCCTGCATCAACACACATCCGATCCCAACTCTCGAGGCATCATAATACACTGTGTAAGAACCTGAAGCTGATGGCAATACCAATACTGGAGCTGTGGTCAAAGCTGTCTTGAGCTTCTGAAAGCTCTCCTCTCACTCATCTGACCATACAAATGGTGCACTCTTCTGCGTCAAATTGGTCAAGGGCGAAGCAATAGATGAAAAACCCTGAACGAACCGGCGATAATAACCCGCCAAACCGAGGAAACTCCGAATCTCCGTGGCTGAGGACGGTCTAGGCCAACTCTGCACCGCCTCTATCTTCTTTGGATCAACCTGAATACCATCACTGGACACCACGTGCCCCAGGAAAGCCACAGAACCAAGTCAGAACTCCACTTGGAGAACTTTGCATAAAGCTTCTCCTCCCTCAAATCTCTGTAATACCACTCTCAAATGATGTGTGTGCTCCTCCTAGCTACGCGAGTACACCAGGATGTCATCAATAAAAACAATCACGAATGAATCCAGATACGGCCGAAATACACTGTTCATCAAGTGCATGAATGTTGCTGGGGTATTAGTCAACCCAAAGGACATAACCAGAAACTCATAG